AACCTAAGAGCCAAGAGCTTCTTCCAGGTCTTCCACGCACGTGCAGGGTCCCAAGGCTTTGGGCCGTCCTCTATTGCTTTCCCAGGCCACAAACAGAGAGCTGAATGGGAAGCGGGGCTGCCAGGATTAGAACCAGGGGATCCTGGTACATGCAAGGCAAGGACTTTAGCTGCTGGCCTACCGTGCTGGGCCCCATTTTTTTTGTTGTTGTTTTGTTTTGTTTTTTAAGAAAAAAAAACTACTGAGAGACTAAAAAACAAAGATTGGATCGGGGGCACTTTTGATGACTGACAATGGTAGCTGCTGTGGCTGATATTCTAGAGAATAGAAAATAAGGAAAAATAAGGAATTGGTGACCATGATTCAAGTCTTTCAAATACTTTGGTTATAAAGGGGAGCAGAGAAAGGGAATACTAGCTGGACAAAACAACCAAGATAGAGAAATCGGTGGCTTTAAGCAAGAGAAATAACAGCACACATGTATGCTACAGGAAGAGGAAAAACAAAACTAAAAACGATGATGCAGGAGGGGAGTTCAGCAATAGCAGCCCAGGGTGTACGAGGGGACAATGGGGATGAGAACACCGGAGCAAGGCAAGCTTCAGCTCATACAAAGACAGGGGCACAGGGACAGATGCTCACAGGCCAGGAGCTTGGGGGAGACGTTTTTCTAGGAAAGAAAGGAAGCAAGGGAGGGAGAGAGGGTGGGAGAGAAAGGGAAAGAGGGAGAGGAAGGAAGGAAGGATCAAGACATATGGGAGAAAGTGCAAGTGGGCCAGTCCCAGGGAATGCAGGCTGATGGCCATGATGCCAGCATGACATATGTAGCATCTGGCTAGTGAGGACTGCACTCTTTCAGGGAAGAAAACAACTTCCCTTGCAACATTCAGCACAGTCACATGCTTCCCTCTGTCTGCCTCCCATTCCTTCTCCACCACTCACTGAAACTGCAATGAGGTCTGGGCAACAGAAGCAGGCACAGAGCTGCAGCAAATGTTAGCTACTGTTTCAGCACTTGCAAAAAGGTTTGTTCCCTTAGAAACAAAGTGAATACTTGCTCCAGGTTGTCTTAGAACAGCTCTCTGGATCTCCCTGAAATGCTAACCCATCACAGATGTTATCCAAACTGGTTCCAAATCCAGTCAGAGAACCTGCTTTGTGTGCAAAGGACAGGGCCCTGGAGAGGTTTCATCCCATCGAGAAGAGGTTGCCACTTCAATGCGCTCAGAGTGGATCCAATCAGGGAAATCCTAAATTTGTCATCAGTTTAAAGCCCATCTAAGAACACCAAACTTCCATGGTATAATGCTGTTAGCTGCACTTTTCTTCCTACTTTTAAAAGTATTAACTGCTTTGGCCACTTGTACAATTTGTTACTTTATGTCCAATGATAGTGGCCATCAGAAAAACAGCCAAGCCTTCATCTTTCAAAATAAAGTAGATGTGTTACTTTCTTGCCAAGAGAAATATCTGCTTGTCAAAATTTACACTGTTACTTATTATTTCCCAAGCTACAACTATACATGTCTTCTGCAACAAGAGACATTCTCAAAAAGAAGCTATGAGCAGGAGGGAAAAGTGAGGATGACTTGCAAATCTTAGCCAAATCACTAAGGAAAAAAAAAAAACCAAAAACGTTATGATGTTTGAAGAACACTACATAAAATGTGCTACAGGGTTCTATTTCCAGACACTAGACTAGATGCAGCCATTCTACCAACATAAAAATGTACACAGTGGATGGGTGGTGTGGCCCAGTGTGTTAAGCTGCTTGGGAGGCCTGCATCCCTATTTCAGACCTCTCTGTTCAAGTGCTGGCTGCTTTGTTTCCAATCCAGCTTCCTGCAAATACACCTGGGGAGCAGTGGATGCTGGCCCAATGAGGGATTCCTGGCTCCTGGCTTAACTCCTGCCCTGCCCCACCTGTTGTGATCATTTGGAGGCATCAACTCATAGATGGAAGGTTTCTGTTACCTTCAAACATATAAATAAATAAAATTTCAAAAAAAAAAAAGAAAACATAGCACAAATTGTACAGTATATTCAAGGAAACTAAAAGTTAACAGATCTACAGGACAAACTATAGAAATTGCTCAAAGATATTCATCCTACTCATCCAAATGCTGTAAGAACGAAAAGCAGCAAACAAATGGCTGACAACTACAGAGGTGAAGCACTGAAACAGGCTGATCCCAGGGAATCATATTCAAAGAACTTAGAATCAAGACAAATACCAATCACTGAGTACAATCTACTGCTTCAGGATAATCAAAATTATCAAGCTGCAGCTGTGGCATAGCAGGTAAAGCCGCTATCTCTAGCACCACATGCCACAGGACACCGGTTTGAGTCCTGGCTTTTCCAATCCAGCTCCTGGGAAAACAGCAGAGGATGGTCCAAGTGCTTGGGCCCCTGCACCCACACAGGAGACCTCAAAGAAGCTCCAGGCTCCTGGCTTCAGTCTGGCAGAGTCCTGGCCACAGTGGCCACTTGGGAAGTGAACAGTAGAAAGAAGATCTTTCTGTCTCTCCCCCTATAACTCTGCTTATTTTTATGTCTTAAATTTTTGTTCTAACTCTACTAAGGTAAAGATCAACACCTACAGTTTATATAAAAGTTCAATAACCTTTAGAGTATAAAGAGGTCTTGAAGGCTCAGCAAGATGGCTTGGATTGGCTAAATCCTCACACTGCAAGCATCTGGATCCCATAGGGGTGTCAGTTTGAGTCTGGCTGCTCCACTTCCCATCTAGCTCCCTATTTGTGGCCTGGGAAAGCAAAAGAAGATGGCCCAAAGCCTTGGGACATGTACCCACCCACGTGGGAGACCTGAAGAAGCTCTTGGTTCCTGGCTTCGGATTGGCTTAGCTCTGGCCACTGCTGCCACATGGGGAGTGAATCAGCGGATGGAAGATCTTTCTGTCTGTCTCTCCTTCTTTCCATAAACCTGATCTGACTTTCCAGCAAAAATAAGTAAATCTTAAAAAAAAAGAGAGAGATCATCAATCTAAAATATTTGAGAATAACTACCCTAATGTATCATATCACTTATGCAAAAACAAAAAAAAGGAAAAAGAATCCAAAGTATGGACATTTTCATACTTCTCATAAATTCTATAAAATTGTTATCAATAGGAATTTTGTAATTAGATATACCTGCAAGGCAATTAAATGTAGCACACAAAAGTCTACATGAGAATTGCTACGGAGACAACCTGTCGAATGTAACGGTAGGCTACTCATAAATGCTTCACAGCCCAGATCTATGATTAAGCTAAGCTCCACAGGGCAGTTTATCTGCAACACAGGTTAACCAATCTGTGGTTACCATATAAGTTAATCGACCCAAAATATGCCTTTCCATTTCTTCAAAAGATGCTGAGTTCCTACAAGCAAGACTGATAGTATTTTTGTCCAATTTTTCCAAAGTTATTCACAAATGCTAATCAGCTTAGCATTACAATATCATTGTATTTGTGCATATGTGGTGCTTTTAACTTTTGCCAATACCCAGCAACATTAAGAAAGATGTTAACATTTCTCTCATTAAGGAAACAATATAACTGATGTGCAAACACAATCCTAGCTGCACAACTCAGAAATAGGGCCCACCAGAAAGGCAGCAGCAGACAAAATCCTTAAGTACCAATTTACATAGAGTAATTGCTGGGGGCAGAATTCAACAGCACAATTGAGGAAAGTAAAAGAAGTCTTCAAACCTTCATGGAAAATATGTATTATGAAAAGTATACATTTCAAAAAATTATTTTGCAAAAATAACTCAACTTATCTTTTACTGCCATTTCCCCACATTGTGCAAGTACACTCATACCACGAAGATATCCTGAACTCTCGTGCAAACGTACCTTCCAAAACTAGCACCTCAGAACTGATAGTTCTTGGGGTCTCACAAACTTGCCAGGAGCAAGCACTAAGACAGCTGCAGACACAACGCTCACATCCCAATGTTCATATTAAGGATGCATGCAACAATAAAACGTCTGTTTTGTAAAAGACAACCAAGTCACTGCAACTTCCATTTTTTTTTTTTTTGGAACTACTTGCAGCGGTATGTTAACAACCCGATTCCTGCGTGCTAACCAAAGTGTCAGCAAATTAACCATCAGCTGACTTTGTAAAACGGCATGCTTAACGATAAAGAAGATAAGAACATCCTTTGAAAACTTACTTCTCATATTAACATCTATGGGGTTTACACTCGCGGCATGGACTTTGATGATGACTTCATTAGGATAATGGATGATGGGTATCATCATGTTCTGAGTGAACCGCAGCACATCATTCTTCCCATACTTGTCTATCACCCAAGCGGGCATGACGGTGCTCCTCGGCGAGGTAGTACTGATCTTCCTAACTGAAGGCTTTTGTACAGTTCTGCGTCTCCACAGGCACGCCGCATTTCTTCTAAGCACACAGTACTTCAGAAACTCCATCGTCAACAGAATAGGATTGCGTGGATCGAACTCTCACCCGAGTTCGGTCAAATTCTTTGACAACACACTAAATGACCTTCGAATGGAGCATCCGGAAGTGTGGTTAACCGGACCGAGCAACTGAAGGAGTTTACTATTCTCTTCGTTTCTCAGTTACTCCAAGGAGCCTTCCAGTCATAATTCTGGCCATTCCCCCTCTTCCTTACACGCCTCTCCCCTTTCACTCTCACACACACACACACACACACACACACACACACACACACGCAGGTGCGCAGCCACTACTCCCACTCCCGCCCCAAGACCCAGGCCCAGTCCGGACAGCTCTCAGCGGAACAAGCAAACACCACTAGCTACCCTCCAAAACCCACTGAAAACGGCACGCTTAAGCGCCTCGAACTGCGACCCGACCGGGAATCTCCTTGTCTGCCCGCTCTCCTTTTCCACCGGAGGAAAGGAGGGACTTTGCCACACCAACCAATCACGCGCAAAGATCATTGCTGGGGACTGTGACTCGACCAATCCAAGGGCTCGGTATTGAAGGGTCAATGACGATCCAAGATGGCTGCGCCCGTGTAATCCCGGCGGCAGCTGACCTCTGATTCTTTCCTCCTGTCACCTGGCCCCAGGGGTTGGTTAGCTGAGTACGAAGATCATGCTGGGCCGGACCCTCCGAGAAGTGAGTGGGATGGACCAGCTGAGTCCTTCGGGAGGGCGGAAAGATTCGCGGACTCGGTGGGTCAGGAGTCCCGCCTGACGTTCCCACCTTGGTCTACCTGGTTTATAGCCTTCCCTTCGATCTTTAGACTGGGCTCTTCGTTGCCTTTCGGGAACTGAGGAGTTTGCTCTGCGCCGCGGAGCCGTGGGCTGGAAGGTGCATCGCATCCTTCGGCTTCTCGCCGTTAAACGTTAGCTCGGAAGGGCCGCTTTGCCGGCTCACGTCCTCTCTTATGTCTCAGCTGATGCGCTTACTTCCAGGTGCAGCCACAGCGTGCCAGACCCAAACAACGCCAGGTTTTCTGAAGAAAACCTGTGCTCTGTAAAATACCGCCTTTTCCTTAGTCCATGCCTCTATTCCTAGACATTGTATTTGAACTTCAACCTGCATTTCTCCCTTCCATATGCCCCATAAGCACCTCAAACGCAACTTCAACCATCATTGTAACAGGCCTACTTCCCAACTTTCATCCTAAATCAAACCAACCCCTGATATTTCTGAATTCTATACTCTTCTTAATGGCACAGCTATTATCCCAGTTATTGTGCCCAATCTTTCTAATACATCATTAAGTCCTACTGTATTTTGCGAACATAACTGGGATTTGTTCTCTTACACCGCTCCTGCTCTTACTGCTTTAGTTCAGCTCTGCTGGATTTCTTACCCGGGTTGCTCAACCTTTAGTACTTAAGCCGGCCCACTGCTATGGGAAGCACCTGAGATCCTTGTTAACTTCGACTCCCTTCCATCTGAACTTCATCAGACACGGGGCTGGAGGCCCCAGGTGATTTCTGGGGACCAGTAGGGGTTTAGGACCTAGCCTGCATTCCATCTTTTGCATCTACACCTGCGAAGTCTTCCCCCAGCACCTTCCCAGCTATCAAGCTTTTGTTATAATACAAACTTATTATGCATTATTTTCCATCTTAAATTGCATGCTGCATATATGCTTAGTGGAAAATCAGCTCTTTTTTTTTAAAGCACCCAAGACTTGATGTGAAGTGAAATAACAACTGATAAAAACATGATATTATTTCCTTTTTTTGCCTTATCCCCCTTCTGCTGGACCATTTCTTGTGCTTTTTCTGTTATTTGGGTAAACCCTGGTGAGAAAGGACCTTTGCCCCAGGAAGGAAAACACTTAAGAGATCTGAGGGAAGACCACCAAGACATTGCTTTGGCAGGGCTTTCACTTAATCACTCCCTTAATTAAGATTAATCCATGCCTGCGATGCTGAAAACAGTGTATGGTTATTAATTTCCCAGCTCAAATCTATGCTATTTTTCTCACATCGCTGTACTGGTGTGTCCCAAATTTTATCAATTAGAGGTTAATTAATTCAGTGCAAATTTCTTTTTAAAATCCATACAGATACCTAAGAGGGTTAAAAGGTTTGTTCTCTCACTGTTGCAAATTACAGATTGGGATAGTCATTTGCAGAAATGGGAAGTCATGTATATATATGGATTTATTTGAAAGGTGGAGTGATAGGGAAGGATAGAAAGAAAAGCTTTTTCATCTGCTGGTTCACTTCATCAGGGCTAAGCCAGACCAAAGCTAGGACTCTGGGAACCCCATCCAGGTCTTCCACATGGGTGACAAGGACTCAAGTACTTTAGCCATTATCTGCCTCTGCAGTGCATTAGCAGGATGCTGGATTAGACACTCAGATTTGTCATGAATCCGGCACTCTGATATGGGAGCAGGTATCCCAAGCAGGGGTTTAACGTGCTCTGCCACAGTGCTCACAATCTGGACATGTTAATTCTGTAATGTCTCCTAGATATCCAAGTGAAGAAATCATCTAAGCAAATTGGAGCTCAGGAAAAGAGGCCAGATCTGAGGGTACATCTTGGCCATTCAGGACTGCTAGTTCCTCAAGGTCTCAACTCTATCATCCTTCACTCTCATCGATTATGGAACCTAGGCCCCATTTTGTTGTGAAGTATGTGGGTAGTTAAGTAAATGAGCCCAGAGGCAAGAAAATGTGAGACGACAAAACTGAGACTTAGGAGTTTTTATACATATTGGTAATGATGAAGTCTTTGCTACGCCCTGGTAAATTGTGACCTTACATAAGGTCAAGAAAAGGGGGAACTCAGATGCGTTGTGGTGGTGTACTTTGCCTTGGAGTTGGGAAGGAACAAGAATGACAGCAGGAGCAATGCTAAGGAAGATGCAATAAGTTAGATGGTAAAATCATCCAGGAGGGAAGGGAACATCAGGAAGAGTGATTACATCCTCTCCAGGGCATAGGTTTGAATGAGTTGGGATTTTTGAGAAAAGTCAAAGGCATTGAGGAGCAAGGAGGACTCGTGACTCGCACACGTTTCCTTTCACACTCGTGTCTCCATTGTACAGGAAGCCAACACAGGAGAGGCAGTGGGGAAAATCTGGTTGGCATAATTGAGTGGAAGTGCCAGGTTCAGTTTTTTGCAGTTCCATTTCATTTTGGATTTCAGGCAGGACACCTGCAGCCTTCTCCCAGGAGAGAGGTACAGTTTACATTTCCTGCTCCTCTGCTCAGTCCTTTAGGGCTGATTAGCATGTTCATTCTCACTTCTGTTTTCCAGTTCCCTCCTTGACTTGCTCAAATCTGTGCTTCCTGGAAACTGTCCCGTTGAACAGCAGCACCATAAGAACCGAGTGCTCCTAGGCAAGCTTAGTTCTTGCTCTTCTTACCATGCGCCACACCACTTGACAGAAAGAATCCTGCAGATTGCAGGTGCTACAGGACTTAAAGGGGTCAAAAAACGAGGGGAAGAAAAGAGGCAGGCACAATTTTGCTCACTATTGTAACTTTACCATGGGATAGCCTTGCCCAGGTATGAGAATACTTCCGAGTGTCCATGGAAAAATGGAATTAAAAGCTATTTTGGGTGCGTTTTTAAAATACATGCATAGATTTTTCAAAATTTACACTTACTATCAACTTTGAAGACATCTCATATGCATGGATTTCAAGAAATTTTGGGGGCCCCAGCACAATAGCCTACTAGCTAAATCCTTACCTTGCATGCTCCAGGATCCCATATGAACACCAGTTCATGTCCTGGCTTCTCCACTTCCCATTCAGCTCCCTGCTTGTAGCTTTGGAAAACAATAGAGGATGACCTAAAACCTTGGGACCCTGCACATAGGTGGGGGACCCAGAGGAACTTCCTGGCTCCTGGCTTTGGATTGGCTCAGCTCCAGTCATTACAGCCTCTTGGGGAGTGAACTAGTAGAGGGAAGATCTTTCTGTCTCTCCTTCTCCCTGTAAATCTGCCTTTCCAACAAGAATAAATAAATCTTTTTAAAAAAATTTTTGCACCCATAAAAGCATTTTTATTTTCATTTTTCCATGAGTGATTTGGAATTGCCTCTTGTGCTGAATTTTTACTAATCTGTATGTTTTCCACATCCTTCGCACTCTGTATTAACAATATTATATTATATTGCTTTTATTTCTAACACCTTTCTGTCAAAGAATTTGTATTTCATACAGACCTTTCAGCAGAAATCTCTTCTTGTTACTCAGTCATTTCCTTTGAAGGCAAGCCCTACCACCCCACTGCATCCCAGAATCACTCCTCCAACCCTTCGCCCATGGATGTGCTATTCCTCCTTTCGTTCAAGAACATTAAGGGTTCTCTATTGGCTTCTGCCCACTGCTTTTCTCATTGGAAACTCCCACCCTTGAGAACACCATAGCTTTCACAATTTAATGGAGAGCAGATCATTTACATATTTCCCCCTCAAGTACAAACTCCTGTTGCTTGATGCCTGTAGGACATACTAAAATGCCAACAAGGACGCAGCTCAGTAGCCTAGTGGCTAGACTTCTTGCCTTGCATGCGCCAGGATCCAATATGGATGCCAGTTTGAGTCCTGGCTGCTCCACTTCCCATCCAGCTCTCTGCTTGTGGCCTGGGAAAGCAGTAGAGCATGGTCCTTCACCTGCATGAGAGACCCAGAGAAGGTTCCTGGCTCCTGACTTTGGATTGGCTTAGCTCCTACAGCTGCAGCCAGTTGGGGAGTAAACCAGCGGATAGAAAATCTTTCTCTCTGTACCCCCTTCTCTCTATAAAATCTGACTTTCCAATAAAAAAAAGTCTTTAAAAATAAATAAATAAAATACAATGCCCTTCAGTTAGAGAACAAACCAAGTGCCTAGCAGAGTCAGGCTAGAGATGGCGAGGGACTTGTATTATACAGTCACCCCCCTTACCATTTGTTTGAGCAAATCATTTAGCCTCTCTGAGCATCATTTTCTTTACTCTCGAAGGAGGTTAAGATTACCTAAAATATAGTGGCTTCTTTAAGAGTTAAATAGCAATGTGTGTAAGGCAATCCCTGGTTCATGGGAAATAAATATTATTCCTTCTCCTACCCACCTTGTCTCTGAGCTCGCATCTTATTGGCTAATCCAACTTTGTTTTTTACAAAGAGTCTTCAAAAAGTGCAAGGAAAATAAGGGTGAGCATTTGGTGCAGTTGATAAGATGCCTCTTGGCAGCCTGCATCACACACTGCCGGGTTCAAGTCCCAGGTCTTTTTCCGATTCCTGCTGCCTGAAGGTGTGCACTGTGCCACACAGCAGGGATGGCTCAAGCACCTGAGTCCTGTCACCCTCATGGAAGGCCTCACTTGAGTTCCTGGTGCCTGGCTTCACCTTGGCCCAGTGCTAGCCATTGCAGGCATTTAGGGATTGAACCAGTGTATGGAAGAACACTCTATGTTCCTGTCATGTTCTCTTTGCATCTGTCTGACTTTCAAACAAATAGAAAGGAGGGAAAAAAAAGGTTTTATAAGTTCTCGAAAAATGTGTATTTTAAGAAAATCATTTGTAGATTTCAAAAAAGAAAAATTTACACCGAAGTAAATACCCTTTAATTCTATTTTCCCATGTACTATCTGGGTTGCCCTCATATACTCTACAAAGCTTTGGTGTCATCTTTGATTTCTTGTTACTCATCCCTTTTGTCTGATAGTAAGTACACAATATTATTATTTTCTACAGGAAATAATAAGCAGTCACCATTTCATCTTTTGCTACTTTTCATGCAGTTGATCTTTAACCTTCCTAATAAGAAGCCGAATTTCAGAGCAGTTTGTTTTAGTTGGTTTTGGACCTATGTTTTGTAAGCATCTCTTTCAATTCATCCCATAATACGTACTAAACATATTTAGAGTATAAAATTTCATAGTGCTTTGCCCAGTCGATTTCTGGGGTTTGTGTTGTTTTGTTTTGTTTTGTTTTGCTTCACCCTGAACTACCTGTGTTTTAGCTAAGCTATCCTCTATACTTCATCTACCTTAATCCATTCTTGCCCCAATCAGGGTCATGACTCCCCCTAGACAAACTAGCGGACCTAAACTGTTGCTATTATTTATTCAAGCCTAGTTGAGACAGAAAGTCAGCTGGGAAGAAGAAGAGTCTGTTTTCCATTCTATCCTCAAGCTTTACCCTTTATTCAGTCTGCTATCTGAGAGTAGAGCTAATAGGTCCTCTTGATTTGCACCCTAGGCCTAACTTGAGAATTTTACAGTTGGCCCTGTATAGCCTGCCTTCAGTATAATAAGTGAAATGTATAAAACTCAGTAAAAGGTTTTGAACTGGATCTGCTATAGGTTTCTGCAGCTTTGAAACAAGGCCAGATTACACCAAAAGAACTCTGTCAAAAATGCCTCTCCCTTATCAAGAAGACCAAGTTTCTAAATGCTTACATCACTGTATCAGAAGAGGTGGCCTTAAAGCAAGCAGAAGAATCAGAGAACAGACACAGGAAAGGTATGTTGCTTTTTAATTATTCTCCACTGTTTCACTTGCATCTCTAAAGTTTGGTTGGATGGAACAGTTACATTTAAAAGTTTGGTTGGATGGAACAGTTCCATTTGGCAAGTAAAACTTTCAACACATGAAACACACCCTTAAAGATGTTGCCATGAAACATGATACAGATGAGGCTAATGGACATATGATGCTTTAGAATATGCAACTCTAATGATTTGTAGCACAAATTTGATTTCTGAAGAAGTACCTTTGCCAAAAACTAGTAGCTATTGTAATAACTGATCATAACATGTGTATATATTTCAAACTATGCTCTTCAAAGTCATTGTTTTGGCTTTTTAATACAGGCCAGTCACTGGGGGACTTGGATGGAATTCCTATTGCAGTGAAAGACAACTTTAGTACATCTGGCATTGAGACAACATGTGCGTCGAACATGCTGAAAGGTGATCAGAGCATTAATGATTTTCTAAAATAGGAATTCTCAATTTGTTAAAAAATGCTAAAGCACACAGATCATCTCAGACTAGTTTTATCTTGAAGAATATTACCTTTTTACTGTTTGATCTTTAAAAAAATTAGCATTATTGGGGTCAGCATGGTGGCATAATAGATTAAGCTGCTGCCTGCTATGCTGGCATCCCATATGAGCACTGGTTCAACTCCCTGCTACTCTACTCATGATTCAGCTCGCTGCTAATGTGCCTTTAAATGCAGAAGACAGCACAAGTGCCTAGGACCCTGTCACCCACATGGAAGTCCCAGATGGAAACCCAGGCTCCTGGCTTCAGCCTGACTCAGCCCTGGCCTCTGCAACCATTTGGGGAGTGACCTGGTAGACAGAAGTTTTTTCCCTCCCTCTTCTCTCTCTGTAATTCTTTCAAATAAGTAAGTTTTTCTTAAAAATCAAAGAAGTTGGCAGATGAATAAGTGCAGTTTCAGAAACTGTAAAACTGCTTAGGAAGACTAAGTAACAGGTCAACAAAACCCATTAAGTGACTTCTGCCTCCACTTCCCTGATGACATGGAAATAAGTGTGACCTGGATGTTATTCCTCCTCCTCGTGTGTGTGTGTGTGTGTGTGTGTTTAATCTTAAGGAACTTTTTTTTTAATTAAAGATTTATTTTGAAAAACAGTGAGTGCACAGACTATTTTTGGAACCAGTACACAATAATGAAACATCAACTTTTGGAAGAAAGCATAAGCTGTTGCTCAGATTAGGAATAATGAACATGTCAATATGAACGAACTGCTTAACTGCATTGGAAAATCCTGTGTATTGCATGTGATTTATGTAGCCACTGTTGACTACAATAAGAATAACTCTGTTCTATTCTTCCAGGTTATATACCACCTTATAATGCCACAGTGGTTCAGAAGTTGTTGGATCAGGGAGCTCTACTAATGGGAAAAACAAACTTAGATGAGTTTGCTATGGGGTAAGTGAAATGGAGATTTCCTTCCCTTTTGTTTCTTCTATCTGTGCCATTAATTTCATTAGAAAGAAATACCTGAAAGTAGCGAGGTGATTTTTGATGATTCTGATGCCAGTTTCTTAATCTTTCTAGGAGACTGTATTCGGACCAGTGGACTGTCCCTTGCCACCACACATGGAATAGGGAAACAGTTCTTCTGCTCATTTTTTCGAATCTGGTTGCTGCTTTTTTTCTTGTTTCTGAGTTCTAAGAATTCTCTCAAGTCCATTGTCAGATAGGCATGTGTAGATGTTTTCCAATTCTCTGACTAACCTCTCTTTCTGAACAAGCCTTTCAAAGATTAGAAGTTTTTAATTTTTTTAAATGAAGTCCAGCTCATGGATTTTTTTTTCTCCTATGAATCTTGCTTTATGAGTCCTAAGAATTTTTACATAACTCACAACCAAAACTGTTTTTTCTCCTAGAAACTTAGAATTTTAGCTCTTACATTTAGACCTAATTGTGATATGAACAAAGTTCATTTTGAAGCACTTGGATATTGAATAGTTCCAACATTAGTTGTAAGAAAGATTATCCTCTCCTCATTACATTTTACCTTATTTTTTGTGTGTCAGATCTTAAGCACATGCATTTATATATATATATATACACCTGTTTCTGGACATCTCACCTTATTGATTATTATAGATTTATTATAAGCCTTGAAGTTAGGCAATGAGGAGCCTGCAAATTTGTCCTTTTTCAAAATGACTTTACATATTGTAAGTTCTTTGTGTTTCCATGTAAATTTTAGATTTCTTTTGGTAAAGATTGATTTATTTATACATACATACATACATACATGCATATAGGAAAGGCAGATTTATATAGAGAAGGAGAGACAGAGAGAAAGGCCTTCCATCCACTGGTTTACTCCCCAAGTGACCATAATGGCCAGAGCTGAGCTGATCCAAAGCCAGGAGCCAGAGTGTCTTCTTGATCTCCCAAACTGGTACAGGGTCCCAAAACATCGGGCTGTCCTCGACTGCTTTTCCAGTCCACAAGCAGGGAAGTGGAACTGCTGGGATTAGAACTGGCAGCCACATGGGATCCTGGTGTGTTCAAAGTGAGGACTTTAACTACTACACCATCATGCCAGGCCCAAAAATAAAATAAATCTTTTTAAAAAATTATTAAAAAAAAAAAGAAACCTAGGAGAAAATCTTTGCAACCCTGAGTTAGGCACAGATTTCTTAGAAAACAAAAAGCACAAATCCATTTTTTTAAAAAACGCATAGATTAGACTTGATTGAAATAACAGATTTCTGTATTTCAAATTGTGATACTAAAAACTGAAAAAGCAAGTCATAAGCTACGAAAATTTTTTAATTTTTCTGGGAAAGAACTAGTATCCAACATATATAGAACCTTTCCCAACTCAATAATAAGGAAGCAAACCACCTAGTTTTAAAAGGTAAATTCATAAAGTTCCAAACAATTCAAAGTTATTTATAATGACAGAAAGTCCACCATCAATGGGAAAGTAAGTCAGGTGTTGTCCAAAGACTCAGAGCTAATGCCCAGGAGGGCTGGGTATGAAAAAAGTATTTTTTTTCTTCCCACTTTATTTGAAAGGCAGAAAGAAGGAAGGTGATGTTCCATCTGTAGACCATTGACCTCTTACTGGGCCAGATCAAAGCCAGGAGCGTAGAACTTCATTTGGATCTCCAGAGTGCAAGCTATTATTTCCTGTCTACCAGAGCTTATATCAACAAGCAGTCAGATTGGAAGACTTGCAGCCAAAAGTTGAACTAGGCATTCAGATCCTAATAGTACCTTAACCCATTGTGCCAAAGGCTGAAGGCAGGATTTTAAAGGAGTGAGAGTAAATTTTAGGGATGGGATATATTGACTATGGCATACACATATATTTCAAAACTTACCGAATTCTACACTTCAAATATGTACAATTTATTGTATGTCAACTACATTTCAATAAAGCTGTTTTTAAAATCCTGAAAAGAATTAAAACTTCCCAACAACCCATGTGGAAGACCCAAATGGAATGCCAGGGTTCAGCCTGATCCAGACCAGCAATGACATTTAGGGAGTAAACCAGTGGTTGGAAGATGTCTCTCTCTCTTTTTCTCTCTCTCTCTCAGTCTCTCCCTTTGCCTATAACTCTGCCTATCAGATAAATAAATAAACCTTTATGTGTGTGTATACAAAAAGATGAAAGAATTCAAACACATGAAAAAAAGATTAATAGTATTAATCTTTAGGGAATGCAAATTAAAAGCAGAGTAAAGCTATAGAATAGCATATATATATATATGTAAAGCTATACAATAGCTTTACAAAAATGACAGTATCAAATACTAGCTAGGACATGGAGTTATTGATTTTCTCATATAATGCTGGTATGGAACACAAAATGGAGGATAGTTTGGCAGTTTGTTATAAACTTCAGGCTAACAGCATATGACCCAACAGCCTCAATCCTAGGCACTTACATAAGACCTAAAGGCTTCTGTCTGCACAAAAACATTGGCTACGGCCTTTCAGTACCGGATCCACAGTGAGCCTGTTCACATACTGCAAACAGTACACTATAGGTTGGCTGGTTAAGATTTTTTTAATCAGCTGAAGAACCAATGATTGCTAAATACAGTACCTGACTCTAGATTTGATTCTGTAAGAGGAAAAAATGCTATAAAATAGATTAATGAACCAACTGGCAAAACTGGAATCAATACACTACATAGACTGATGTTAGATTGATTAAGGAGATTGGTAACCATGCTATGATTGTAAACAATATGATCTTATTCTTAGGAAATACAGACCAGTTTGGAAGTGAAGCACCATGGTATATATAATCTACCCATAAATGGTTCAGAAAAGATAATAATCTGTAAATATCTGTATAGCCACTGACACACATAGAACAAACAATGAAGCAGATGGGATACAATTTTAACAATAAGTGCGGCTAGTTAAAGGATATAAAATACATACTGATTTTGAATTTGCAATCTAAGAAAAAAGCTATTTCCAAGTTTTAACAAGAAGTTTTTAAGTATTCCGCTAAAATGTTTTGCTTGGAAGTTCTGAGTAAGAGAGATTGCTTTCAGAGCCATCCTATAAATTGAACTTAGAAGGGAAATTATATTTAGTCAGCTGAACTATATCTGATTATTCATAATCAGATGAGATAGAAATCTTCTTCCCAGCTTAGATTTCTCTACTTGCTGTCACAGATGCTCTTCCCATCCCTGCTCCCCTATTGTCTAAATAAGAAAGCTACCTCTGAGCAAGTCTCCTGCATTTTCCAGTTCGAGCTACAATTCAGAGTATTAAAAGCTCAACTGGTGTCAGAAGAAAAACATGGGCACATTCGCACAAGAGTTTTACTCAGATATCTGGCTTATCTTCTTCATCTCAGATCTGGAAGCACAGATGGTGTGTTTGGACCAGTGAAAAACCCCTGGAGTTATTCAAAGCAATATAGAGAACAGAGGAAGCAGAAGCCGCACAGCGAGAGGGAGGATGCGGACTGGCTCATCGCTGGAGGAAGCTCCGGGGGCAGCGCGGCTGCTGTGGCAGCGCTCACATGCTTCGCGTAATAGGCTTTTTTCTATTTATGCTTTAAAAGCCATCAACAACAAGTACTCGGAAACTGCATGCAATATCTAGCAATAGACTAATGTATCCCTTGGCTTTTTGTTTTTCTTTTCTTTTTTCTATTTCATGAGCTGCTTGTCTTCCAATGTACATCAAAATTCTGTCTGCCAATTACACTCAATTATATAGCAACATTAAGTGTATTTTGCACCTTTTACTTGAAATATTTAAACTTTTCCTTTATATGATCTGATTCTCTTTTAAACACTGATTTCTTATGGATCTTGAAGAGTAGAGCATTGATAGAAATGGTCTTATTGAATCGCATTTTTAAAATAATTATTTGCATGTTTGCTGATTTTACTCTTACCTATAAAGACACCAACATTACATGGCTGTAGCTGAATACTAAACTACTAGTAGTAGTTTATCATTCAGCTCAACCTGACTTTTGTCAAAAAGACAAATGCTAGGGGTAGGAGTGGAGAAGGAAAAGGAAAAGAAGTGTTGGTAATGTAAATCAATAAGATATTCAGAAATAGTGTTTGTATAAATCTGCAATTAAAAATGTGTATCAGTAGGTAATGCTTTTTTTCAGCTTGTTAGGAATTGATCAGCTGTCATTCTCTGAATCCACTGAAGTCCCAATTACCAACCATTTCTTGAATGCCAAAAGAATAAGTAAATATGGATGTTGCTTATTTTACCAGCTTCAATTTAGCCAAACTGAATGTGTTCCTTCAGTAATGCTATATGTATTTTATGTTCTTAATTATCCACTAAAAGCAGGCTCTTTCACAAGCATTGCAACCAATAAATTATTTATAGTTTTTCAGGCTTTGTAGATTTAGGTTTGTCAGATTTTTTTTTTAAGTTTTCCTGAAATCTTGTTAACAACTAAAACCACTTCATTTTATCTCTGTGGAATTTTATAGCATTGCATTAATATTAATGAGGGCCTGACAAGCTGGGACTGCAGGATTAGGTGCTTTTCCCCCCCTTACCCTCATCCCGCTTAGTGTTCATCGCTCTGAATGTGCTTTGAGAAGGTGGCATTTTGACACATAATTCCTATGGAAATGTAGGTTTTACTTTTACATAGCCATCAGTGAATGCTAATAAGAAGATGTATCTTTTAAAATTGTGAAAGCAACAGTCTGATTTTGCAGCTTCAATGCACTGGGTAAGAAAGGCAAGATAATTTGCATTTTCTGTGGAGCCCAAATGCCATATGTGATTGTTAGGAGTGCTATTCAGTCCAAAGCTCTGCTTTTAAATACAATCAACAGAAGCACAGATCGAGAATAACCTCAGACCGAACCTTTCTCGCAGTATAAAACATCCTGCTTTTGTTTTCTCACTTTGAATTTGTTTCTTTTAGATTAGGAAGATCCTTGGAATACTACGCAACCACTAAACAAAATGAGATTGAGTACTATGTAGTGACATAAACAGATTATCCAGGGCACACTGTGATGTGAAAAAGAGTTGCAGTCCAAATACATTTAATATGACCCTATTTCTGTTGAAAGTAGTAATTACTTATGTATATATGCCTGCTATAGCATAACAGTGTTAGGTAAGTGCATATCAAAATTGGTAACAGGAGTCTAGGGCTATGATAAACTGTTATGCAGTTGCATCATACAATGAATGATGTATTTTCCTTTTTACAGTAGGCATGTGCTACAGTTCTAATCAGAAAAAAATCTCTTCTTCTTTTAAATGCTTTTAAATTTTTTAATTAAAAGCTTTATCATTTTATTCCCCAAGTGCCCAAGTATGTGTGTTGAGGGGAGGGAGGAAGTAACAGAGTCCGGAGTTGGGAACTCAGTGCTGGTCTCCTGTCCGGGTGGCAGTAATCTACTTAGATGACCTCTCCCCTCTGCCTCCCAGACCCTGCATTGGTGAGAAGCTAGAATCAGGAGCAGAGCCCAGGATCTGGCCCAGGAACTGCACTGATGGGATGTGGGCATCCCAACTGCTAGCCTAAATACTTCCTCCTGCATTTTATTGCTAATTATTCATTTAAAATACACATAGCATAAAAATTTGCCCTCTTTGTCATTTTTAACTTTACAGTTCAGTAATGTTAAGTATGTTATTATATCACCAATTTCCTGGACTCTTTTCATTTTGCAGAACTGAAACCTAATCCCCCTTTTAACATTAGCTCCCTTACCCCCTCCCCACCAGCCTGTGGTAGTTCCCCTTCCACTCACTCTATGTATGTCATTAAGTCAGTTATACCGTATTTGTCTTCTGCAATTTGCATACTTCGCATAATGCTCTAAGCTTATTTTCTTTGTTCAAATAAAAGCCAACCTCTGTCGGTAGCTGGATAAAGAACAAGCATATTCCTCATAGTTGGGTAATGTAACTTCATAAAAATATAAAAATGTATTCAAAATGCATATTAATAAAATATCCCACATCAGAGTCCCTGAGTTTAATTCCTGCTCTGCCTCCTGACTCCAGCTGTGTGTCAGTGGAGACCTTCAGACTAGTCAGTGGTCATGGCTCAGGTCATTGGATTCCTCCGACCTACCTGTGTGGGAGAGCTGGATCGAGTTCCTGGCTCCAGCCACGGGGCAATGCTGGTCATCACTGGATATTTGGGGAATAACCACCTGATGGAAGATTTCATTGCCTTTCAAATAATAAGTCTGAAAAATAACAATAACAAAAAAAACCCCCACAATCTGATTTATTGCAAGTAGCAGTATAAATTGGGAATATATGATCTTTGTGATATGTAATTTGACAATATATATCTCAATCCTAATCTTTGGAAGTTAGTCTAAAAAATAAGAGATTGATGTGTAAAGGTGTTTGTTAAAAATACATTAATATACAGTTTTTAAGGTAGTTAGAAACAGCAAAAGTGTTTTAATTGTAGTGCATCTCTATCCAGTTCTGTTTAGTTTGAAGTTTGTCATATTTTTTATATAAATGGCAGTATCTAAGAGAGACCAGATTTCTGTAATGGAAATTATATTGTAAATCTGTAAATTTTAGCAACATAGTGAAAAGTTTCAGAAAAAGGATGAAAACACATGATTGTACAATGATCTCATTTAAGAAAAAAGTGATTTTCAAAAACTTGAATATGCCAAAATATTAACATTATAAAATGTTTAATTATATCTTTACATTATTCTACATTAGGTGAGTTCTCTGAGATGAGCACTTTTTACTACTTTTGTGTAGTTTGGGTTAATTGTCATTTAAATCTTTACATTTTATTTATTTTTATTTGAAAGGCAGATTTACAGAGAGGAGAGGCTGAGAGGGAAAGGTCTTCCATCTGCTGGTTTACTTCCCAAATGCTGCAACAGCTAGAGCTGAGCTGAACTGAAGCTAGGAGCCAGGAAACTCCTCCAGGTCTCACGTGTGGGTGCTGGGTCCCAAAAATTTGGACCATCCTGTGCTGCTTTCCCAATCCATAAACAGGGAGCTGGATGGGAAGTGGAATATCCAGGACTTGAACCGGCACCCACATGAGATGTCAGTGCTTGAAGGCAGAGGATTAGCCACAGCAGCAGACCCTAAAATATACATTTTACAAAGCAGATTGTAGTGGTGGGTTTTGTGATGCAAAAGTTTAAGATGTCACATTTAAAAACTTCTAATCCAACTTCATCCTGGTGTGTCTGGGAGTCGACATGTGATAGTGCAGGTGCTTGGGCCCCTGCCATTCTTGTAGGAGACTTGGAGGAGTATCAGGTCCGTGACTGGCCTAGCTCGGTCCTGGCTGCTGTAGGCAGTTGGAGAGTGAACCAGCAGATGGCAGATTGTCCCCTTCTCTGTTCCTGCCTCTCTCTCATCCTACCTTTTAAGTAGATGAGAATTAGCCTTTTAAAGGGCGGGGATTCTAAATGTGATAAGAGAAATGTCATTATTCTAAACAAAATTCCATTTACATTCCAGAGCTTTAGGATCGGATACTGGAGGATCCACGAGAAATCCTGCTGCCCACTGTGGGCTTGTTGGCTTCAAACCAAGCTATGGCTTAGTTTCTCGTCATGGCCTCATTCCCCTGGTGAATTCAATGGATGTGCCAGGAATCTTAACCAGATGTGTGGACGATACAGCAATTGTGTTGGGTATTTATACAATCCCATATAGTTTTGAAATAATTTCACCATCAAGCAATTATATCTGTTACTCAGCAATATTTTCCTTACAGGTGTACTGGCTGGACATGACCCCAAAGATTCCACTACAGTACAAGATCCTGTAGAGCCATTCACACTTCCCAGTCTGACAGATGTGAGCAAACTATGCATAGGAATTCCTAAGGTAAACTTCATTTCTTTACCTTACAGGAACTTAGGCTGCTGTGTGGGATGTCCACAGCCCACATCAGAGTTCTGGTGTAAGTCCAGCTACTTTGCCCCATCCAGTTTCCTGCTAGTGGTAACAGGAAGGCAGTAGATGATGGCCCAAGGGCTTGGGCCCCTGTCACCCAAATGGAAGACAAGGATAGAATTCTGCCTCCCAGATTTGATCTGTTTCAGACTTGGCTACTGGCAGCCATTTGGGGAGTGAACCAGTGAGTGGAAAAATCTGCCTTTTCTCTCTCTCTCTCTCTGCCTTTAAAATAAATAATGTTAAATTACTAATTTTCAGCCTAGCAATATGCTAGTGTTTTAAACCTTTAGAAAGCTTGTAGAAGAATGTTGCTGTGCAGAATTATGTTTCTCAGCCTCGGCACAGGGCGTGTTTGGGGCTGGCTGCTTTTTATTGTGGTCAGTTGCCCTGTGCACTGAAAGATGCTTAGCAGCAGGCTTGGCCTGTGCCCCAGATTCCAGAAACACCACCTCAGTCTCACAACCCAAGCTGTCTGCAGGCGTTGCCGAACATGCCCTGATTGAAGAAAAGAGAAGTCATCACCAAGGGAGATGACTGACCCAGAGAAACACTGCTTTGTTTAAATTCTTCCATTGAGGTGCAGTCAGGGCCTTCTTTAAGGAGTGAGAGTACAGGTTGCAGAAAGAGACCTAGTTTAAAATCCTAGATCCTGTGTGGAACTGCTAAGTAACATCAGGAAAGTTACTGAACTTTTTTCATTTGTAAAATGAGATTGATAATACCTGCAAATAATGGGAGTATTGAAAGCAGTAAACAAGAAAACCTCTGAGAAGTGTCTAGCAGGAGAATTGATCCTTAATGGCTATTTGACAGATATGAATTCCCCAGCCACATTTCCAATCGTGAAATTGTTAGGTGCAGCTTATTATCCCTAGTACTGTGTTATGCCATCAGCCCTAGTGGTTCTAGCTTTCTAGCTACATACCAGCAATTTCATGTGTTTTTTTTTTTTCACTTACTGTCAAAGATCCTAGTGTACACATTTATTTATAAAGCCATGTACACGGGTGTTTCAGTGTCCCTTATCATGATTTTTTTTCTTTTCATACAAGGAATATCTTGTGCCAGAACTGTCACCTGAAGTACATTCTCTTTGGTCCAAAGCAGCTGACCTTTTTGATTCTGAGGGGGCCAAAGTCATTGAAGTGTCCCTGCCCCACACCTGCTACTCAATCGTCTGCTACCATGTGTTGTGCACGTCAGAAGTGGCATCGAATATGGCAAGATTCGATGGGCTGGAGTATGGTGAGATGGCTGCTCAGGGAATTTCTAAAGGCACCGTACCTCAGATATTTGAAAGGTTCACTCATTAGTGATGAAAACCACTGCCTGAGATAGTGTTAGTGATCCAGAAAAGCAAAACAGTGAATCGCTGTACCTCTGTCATTCCAGCATTGTACCTAGTGATATTTATAATAAATATCTTTTTAAGCTTATTTCACTTCTTTGGACTGTGAATATCTTGAAGATATGGTATTTTACTTTTGTATATTCACCCCATCTAATGTGGTGCCTGGAACATGGCAGAAGCTCAGTAAATATATGTATGGCTGGGTGGATGAATGGAAGGCTGGATAGGGGGAGGGAACAAATGAAATATCTTTTTTAGTTGTTTTCTTCTTTCTCCTCCTCTGCTGCGAGCAGTCCTTTTGTCTGGTCGGTCTGGCATAAGGCACATAGGGAGAAGGAACCATTAAGTACAAGCTCCCTAATTTTTAACCTTGAAGATGCCAAGCGCTTGCTCGTATGCTCTCAATAGGGAGTGTCCAAAACCAGCCAGGTGCCAGCCAACATGCATTTGCCCACAGATTTACTACATCTGTCCTGGGAGGAGAAAAAAAAATACATAAAAGGAAATGGCTAGTTCAAAGTCCAAATTCACACTTTGTGAATGTGAAGTGTCCAGGTTCCTGCAAGACGGCCATGGTGTGCAGACAGAGGTCCTTTGTGTGGGTGTTCCGCTGTGTGGTGCCAGCTGTTAGGGGAAAAAGCCAAGTTCACAGGAGGAGAAGACAACTTCCTGGGCCTGTGTTCTCACAGAAAGCCTTATCACAAGTTCAATAATTCCGGTTAATCTTCTAAGACAATGCCACTACATTTGATTTTACAAGGAGTAGGACAATGACCTCCTGTTTTGCTATCAGCTTTTCAATAAGGTTATATTATGAGCAAAAAAAAAAAAAAAAAGCCATGTAATGTGGGTTGCAAAAAATACGAACATTTAGGCTTACTTTTCAGGCAAAATCTAACTTCATTTCCTAGCAGTGTTTATCTTTCCTGTTTCCAGGTCACAGATGTAACGTTAATGTGTCCACTGAAGCCATGTATGCCACAACCAGACGAGAAGGGTTCAATGATGTGGTGAGAGGAAGAATTCTCTCGGGAAACTTTTTCTTATTAAAAGAGTAAGGACAACAGTCGAGGAATATTCTCTGTTCGTGAAACGACAGAAACAAAGTAGTAACGTGCCTATCAGGTTTTTACTAATGAAACAAAATCTCTGTGATGCAAATTTGAAAAAGGACTTGCGTTTGGCACTTTGGATTTTTGGTGATTCAAAAACAGAAAATAAAAAGCATTGACACTGTAACGAAATGATTAGTATACCCTGAGAGTAAGACCTGAGGATTTTACTCGTTAAGTGTCCCCCGTCCATGACTGTCACACTGGCTTACCGCTGGCAGAGACTGAAGCAGGGAGTCAGACTGGCCCTTGAAAACTTCGGTGAATCAACTTAGTTTTCCCTTGCGCTGTGTCTGTTTCTCCAAGAAAGAATTCTAAGTTACTGTGAGCCTTGCTGCAATCACCATCAGCGTCAATCTGGTCAGAGAATACCAATAACTCTGCATGAGGATGTAAGAAGGGCAAGCAAAGCAAGTCTTGTTGTAGGACTTGCTTGGACTTTTCTCCATGCCTTTAAGGGCAGACAGCATCTTATTCTTTGGTGTGTTATTTGATGTTTTCTTTTGCCTTCTAGAAATATAGAACATATTCATAGCAGCCGTTCTAGTGATCGTATCTGCTGATTCCAACATTTATGTCTTCTCTGGATCTATTTAGATGTGATTGCTTTCCCCTCACCCCTGGCATTATAGGTCACGTTTTCTGATTCTTAAGCTGTCTAGACATTGTGAATTTTCCATTGTTGTGTGCTGAGGTTTTGCAATATTCATGTATATAGTGTTGGGCTTTGTTATAGGATGCAGTTAAGTTACCTGTATGCTATCAGATCCTTTCAGTATTCTTTTTATGCTTTGATAGCACAAAGTCCAAACAAGCCTGTTTTAAAATAGTCACTCATTTATTTATTCATTCATTTAAAAGGAAGAGAGAGAGATCGTCCATCCTCCGATCATTCCCCATTACAACAGGTTAGGCTAAGCCAGGCCAAGGCCAGGAACCTGGCTCTCCCATATAGGTTGCTTAGACCCAAGTCCTTGGGCCATCATCTGCCTGCCCAGGCATGTTGGCAGGCGGCTGGAGTAGAAACGACACAGCCAGGATTCTTACTGTGGCTCCATTATGGAATATGGACATCTCAAGCAGCGGCTTACCCTGAGCACTAACACCTAGCTCACAAAAGAATCCAAGGAGATACCCTCAAGGTTCCACCAGGTGCCACATGTAACACCTGCTCTTTCCACCTCCACTGCTATTTCTAGCCCAGCATGGGCTCTTGGATTTGTTTGGCAGCTACTTGTGATTATTTGCCCAGGCCTGAGGGGTTCCTTCTCCAACTTGCACAGATCTGTCCTCAGCCACACACCCCATGGGTCCTGTGCCCAGTGAGCTCCCACACTGTGTTGCTTTCGCTTAATGGCACTTTCCAGATCCTCACCATCTTTTTCTCCCTGAACTTCAGCTGTTTGTCTTTTTAACTTACTTTTATCATCCAAATTCTGCTTACGGCTCTGAGGTTCCTCTTCCCTAGAGTGAGGTCCAAAAGGGGCCTTTGGGGATTCAACTGGAATATCAAGGTGCTCCCTCACTCACTGCTCTGCTCCCCGTTCTCTCCTATGCACCATTTGTCTACTATCTGAAAATACTTTTCTATATTTTACCCAGTTTTTTAGTTGCTTAAGAGGACAAGATAAATCCCATCCTTATTACTCAACCACATATGGAAATAGAAATTCTAATTTCAAAGGATATTTTAAGTAGAAAGAATTTTAATATGAAACATTTGTTTTATCAAATTTTAATATGAAACATTTGTTTTATCAAATTCAGGTTTTAAAATATCCATTAATACAGTTTTTAAACAATCAGCTATTGCTGTGTAAGTTTTATGTGATGCCTATATATATATATATATATATATATATATATACACACACACACATGCACACACTCTTGTCGTCAAATGATAGTAAGGACATGAAAAATTTCTACAGCAACTCTTAGGGTAAATTGCATCATTTTATTTGCTCCTCAGCAGGACTGGAATTATTCTATCCATCTTTGCAATTCAGGAAACTGAAAATTGGAACACTTCGTTCCTTTGCAAGCCTTTTTGCTAACAGTTTTAGAAGGATCTAAAAAAATTTTCTTTGGGACAGGCAGCTGGGAGGCATCTGGGACTTCTGTGTTGCCTATCAGAATGCCTGGGTGTGTGTGTCCCTGCTCCTCTTGCAATTCCAGCTTGCTGGAATACACACCCTAGGATATAGCAGCAGATGGTCGAGCACTTGGGTCCTTGTCACCCATGTGGGAGATCAGATGGCGTTTGAAGCTCCTGTCTTCCACTTGGCCCAGCCCTGGCCTCTTTCCTTTTTCAATAAAGTGAGCATCTTTTCTTGAATTCTTTATTTTCACTGCTGGGCTGTGCCTCTCCATAAAATACAAAATTGCAAAGACTGCATACTTTCTTCAGTTTCTATTTCCAGAAACTGCCAGGAGCTACTCCTGGGAGTGTTTCCTAGTGTCTAATTCAGATGGTGCGTTAGAATTTTGCAGAACCTCCAACTATCCAAGCTAATTATCATTGCCCTATAGATGGAATAAGACATGGCAGAAAGGCGATGGGATGGGCCTCTAGAGACCTAAATTCTCATCGAATGTCCTACTCCTAGCTTTGTAAGTTTCAAAAGGTCATTTAATTGCTATGAACTTGATTTTCCTCACCTGAAAATGAATGTTCTGCTTTAACGGTGTTTCTGGAAGTGTTAATATTTCTAATATTTCATGATTACACAGGACGACTTCAAGGAATTCATGAGAGATGGAATTAAAAGATAAGTTTATTTTGGTGCAAAAAAATAAATAAATAAAATCTGGGCATGTGATTCTTCTAAAACTTCATACATATTATGAAAAAACTACACAGGAATTTCAAATCATCACCAGGGTAAACTTATCTTTAAATTAAATGTTGCCATGACTTTTTTGATGTCTTCTTTTATTTGTACAATTATATTTAGTAATGAATTTTGATCAATTTCCAAATATACAAACTTTGAGGCTAGTTAAACATAAGTCATTTGTATATGTGGTTAGTTTTAATGAAGCCTGCTCATAAAATCCAAGTCATTAGATTAGCAAGCCTAATGTAAGAGAACTGATTCCAGGAGAAAATCCCTTACAATAGCCGCTCTCTCTCACTCTCTCTCCCTTTTTCTGCAGAAACTATGAGGACTATTTCATCAAAGCACAGAAAGTGAGACGCCTCATTGCTAACGATTTTGTGAATGTTTTCAACTCGGGAGTGGATGTCCTGCTAACGCCCACCACCTTAAGTGAGGCTGTGCCGTACTTGGAGTTCATCAAAGAAGACAACAGAACACGAAGTGCTCAGGATGATGTTTTCACACAGGCTGTCAATATGGCAGGTGAAGATCCCTCAGAAACATTCTGGCTGTCTTCCAGTTCTTGGGCAGATTCCCTGATCTACAACTTAGAGGTTCCAGAGAGGGTGTTCCCCATGAGCCATACCTGATGACGACACTCTGGGGGCTGTGTGCACATTGACCACACATACTCACACGTGCATTTTTTTTTCCATCTTTAAAAAATTGTCATTTTATTTAAAAGACAGAGGTGTTCCATCTGCTGATTCATCCAAAATGCTTGCTACAGCTGAGGCCAAGGCCGGTCAAAGCCAGGGTTCTGGAACTCAGTCTGCATCTCCCACATGGGTGGCAGGAACTCCAGGACTTAAGCCAACACCCCCTGCTGCTTGCAGCAATTCACTGGCAGGAAGCAGGAATCGGAATTGGAGCAGAATCTGCACTTGAACCCAGGTATTCTAGTATGGGATGCAGGTGTCCCAAGTTGCATTCTAGCTGCTATGCCAAACGTCCACTCCTGAAGAGTTGCGAGGTTAGTTTTGTGGTGTATTGCATTAAACTGTTACCTGCAACACCGCATCCCATATGGGCACCAGTTCTAGTGCTGGCTGTTCTGCTTGCAATCCAGCTCCCTGCTATTGTACCTGGGAAAGCAGCAGGGGATGGCCCAGGTCCAGGACCCTGCACCCTAATGGGAGACCTAAAAGAAGCTCCTGGCTACTGGCTTTGGCCTGGCCTCGCCCTGGCTGTTATTACCATTTGGGAAGTGAGGCAGCAGAGAGAAGATATCTTTACTTTTCCCTCTCTATATATCTTTCAAGTAAATAAAATTTCTTTTTAAAAATTATTAATATTATTTTTATTAAAAGCAAGAGTATTTTAAAATTTTTAGTTTGAAACCTTTCAAACCTAGATAAAAGATGAAGCATTAATATATAAATATCCACATATTTTTTCCCGTGGATTTTTCCTTGCTAACTTATTGCCTCATTGACTTCCTTTTCTTTTTCTCTTCACACACATACACATTGCATTTCTTGCTGAATCATTTGAAAGAATGTTTCAGGTACCACTGCACCTCACTCCAAAAACTTGAATTTTCTAAAAATAAACACGTTCTTCTGCATAACTCTAATTCCATTCATATACATAAGGTAACAATCATTCAAAAATAATCCAAATATAGTACATCTTCAAATTCTATCAGTTGTGCCAAAAATGTGTTGTGGTAATCGTGTTAAGCCTTTGCTTGAAATGCTGGCATCCCATCTTGACACCAGTTCAGATCCTAGTGTTCCACTTCTGATCCAGTTCTGTTCTAATGGCTTGAGAATGCAGGACAAAATGGTCCATGTGCTTAGGCCCCTGCCAGCCCCATGGGACACCCAGAAGGAATTTCGACTCCTGCCTTTGGCTTAGCCCAGCCCTGGCTGTTGTGGCCATCTGGATAGTGAACCAGCAATGGAAGCTTGCTTGCTTGCTTGCTTACTTGCTTGCTTACACTGTCACTTGGTCTTTCTCACATATACACTGTAACTCTGATTTTCAATTTTTTAAAAATATTTTTACAAAAAAACCTTTGCCCTCTATGTAGAGCATTTGTTTACAATTTTTTTTTTTTTTTTTGGTAATCTGGAACAGTCCCCCTGGCTCTTATTTTTGGTGTTATTTTTTTCCCTTTAATTATCACATCAGACTGAGCTATAAGTTTTACTTCAATGAACAATAATGTAGAATACCCGAGAGACAAAAGAAGGCCTGTTGCATTTGCCCGCACTTTGATTGACTAGGCCCAGTCTTCCTGCTTGGAGGGTTAGTCATCTCTGCTTTCATCACTGTCTGGAGGAATCTTTTTAGAGTAGTTCTGCTAGTGACAAATTCACTTTCCTACAAATCAAGTATCTTGATTTCTCCCTCATTTTTTTTAAGATTTATTTATTTTTATTACAAAGTCAGATGTACAGAGAGGAGGAGAGACAGAGAGCAAGATCTTCTGCCCGATGACTCACTCCCCAAGTGACCGCAACGGCCCGTGCTGCGCCAATCCGAAGCCAGGAACCAGGAACCTCCTTCAGGTCTCCCACACAGGTGCAGGTTCCCAAGGCTTTGGGCCGTCCTCGACTGCCTTCCCAGGCCACAAGCAGGGAGCTGGATGGGAAGTGGAGCTGCCGGAATTAGAACCGGCGCCCATACGGGATCCTGGCATGTTCAAGGCGAGGACTTTAGCCATTAGGCCACACTGCCGGGTCCGATTTCTCCTTCATTTTTAGAAATGCTTTTGATTTCAGTTTTTTGCTGGACACGGGGTCTTGTTCAACAGGGTTTGTTGTTAGCCCTTAAAAATACTGCGCTACTTCCTTCTGTCCTGCAGTTTCTGATAAAAAAATGTCTTTTAGATGACAGTGACTGCTTCAGATGAGTTTAATCTGTTTGTCCTGTCACATTTCCATTCATGATCTGGGCTTGTTAAATTGGTAACCTATGATTGGGTTTAGCTAATGTTTTTAGCCAAAATACTACAGACTGTTCACATTAGGAAACAGTTAATACTGTGGGAACTTGTCCCATTTGGGAAACCCAATTCATCATTTTGTTAAGGCGGTAACACTAGGCATTTCCTTTTTAAGGTGACACTTTGATACCAGGTGAACATACCATTACCCAATAATGTTGAAGCCAATTTTATCAGTCATTGATGATTTTTACTTGATGAAATATTGTCTACAGAATTACTAAACACTAACTTCTCTAGGGATTACTATAATTATTGTTTTGATGCCCAAATTGCTCCCAATTTGGCCTGGGGGGGGGGGAGGAGAGGACGGCAAATTATATCAAGTTGTATGCATCCTTTATATACGTCCCCATTTATTTTGAAAACTTCCTTGTTTTATGGCGTACGTAACAAGATATGTCAGGATCTTGCACTTTTCTGTCCTAATCTTAGAATTAAAATTACTCTAAGTAAGTGGATTTAAAACCTGGCATTAAACTACCATGAACTAACTTGTCATTTAATAGATTAGCCAAAATTCAAAATTTCAGCAACACACTCTGTGGGTAAGTCTGTCAAAAAAACAGCATCCATTTTGCCAGTGAGAATTCAAATCAGTGTAACTCTTAATAGGGGAATTTGGCAATATCTAATTACATACATGTTTAACCTTTGATGGAGCAAACTCTTCATTTAAGAAATTTTGAAGCATAGTAAAAAACGTGAAGTCAGTGGGGGCATTATGTGACATGGTCAAATACTGAAAACAACCTAAATGCCCAACAATTGGAAAGTAAGGGAATAAATTATTGTAAAACCTTACAATGGGGGCCTGGCAGCGTGGCCTAATGGCTAAAGTCCTCGCCTTGAACATGCCAGGATCCCATATCAGTGTTGATTCTATCCCGGCAGCCCCACTTCCCATCCAGCTTCCTGCTTGTGGCCTGGGAAGGCGGTCAAGGACGTCCCAGAGCTTTGGGACCCTGCACCCGCATGGGAGACTGGAAGAGGTTCCTGGTTCCTGGCTTCGGATTGGTTCAGCACCGGCTGTTGCAGTCACTTTGGGAGTGAATCATTGGACAGAAGATCTTCCTCTCTGTCTCTCTTGCTCTCTGTATATCTGACTTTGTAATAAAAATCAATACATAAATCTTTAAAAAAAAAAAACCTTATAATGGAGTACCATACAACTATAAGAAGGCATAAAAGTCTGAACTGATACAAGATAATTTCCAAGATATATTGTGAAGTGAATAAAGCATAGTACAAGTATGTGTCCGTGGGCTGGTATTTTTTTTAGGTGGCTTTTTTAAACCTTGTATGGTTCAGCATAGAGTAGTAGAATTTGTCTCTGCTTTTTGGAATTCATCCACTGACGGGCTTCTTTCCTCCCTTCAGGACTGCCAGCAGTGAATGTTCCTGTGGCCCTCTCAAACCAAGGACTGCCTATAGGATTGCAGTTTATTGGACGCGCATTTTGTGACCAGCAGCTTCTCACAGTTGCCAAATGGTTTGAAGAACAAGTCCAGTTTCCTGCTATCCAACTTGAAGAACTCACAGATGACTGTTCCTTTCATCGGTCCTTGCAAATGACAAGTTAGCTTCTGTTTCTCGACAATAGTAGTGATCAATAAATGATGCAAACTAAAATTTCTAGAGAGTGTATACTCTAGAGGGTCGAGTAATCTTGCTCAGTTCTTGTGATCAGGCTCATTACCAACACAGCCATTCCTTAGAATCACTACTTTAAATTTCTGGGATGTAGTGAATTAACTATAAATAATCTGTCAGTGTTTTTTAAGCATCCACTAAGTACAGAATGCAGGATTTCTGTTGTAACATGAGACAGCAAGTTCCTGAACAACAAAGCATTCTACAAAATGTTGATTTTAAAGAACACTTACAGTAAAAATAAGATTAGGGGTAAACTTTTCTAAACTTGTACCCCCTTGTAACTCGAGCACTAATATAAACAATAATTGTATCTCTAGAAATAGCCTAGGCCTGCCATTCTGTGTGGTTGAGAAAGCCTCAAGGGACTCTCCAAAGGCACAAAAACAACCAAGTGGAAATAGTCCTGCCTTCTGAGTGCTAAGCAAAGCAGGTGAAAGGGGAGACCTATATGAAGGAGGAAGTGACACCTGCTAGGGCCCTGGAACGTGCTAGAGTCTGGGGGCGTCCTCTAGGGAGGAGCCCCAGCTGCAAACCCTCTTTTGTTAATCTAAACACATAGCAGAAGTGACTGAAAACTTTTTTCCTTTTCTCCTTAGGGTTAAAGTGTTAGACATGTCTAGAAGCCATTTATTTTCCTATTTATCAGTCACAAATGAGCCCACTGAGATATCAGAGATTTCACAGAAATATTTAATGCAACCTTGCAGACTGGAAACTTGGTAGACATCCAAACGTGCTTCTGGTGAGAAAAATTAAAAGTATACACATAACACACCAGTGTGCGACAAGCTTGAAGACAGTGGGGGTGAGGAAGCCAACGAGAGGTAGCCTATGGCAGGACCTTCTTCCCCACATTCTCTGTTCCTTGAGCTTTTCTTACATTCCTGAGATATTAATGGTAGTCTGTATCTAATATCTGGCTAAACATAATGGAAGTCATGCAGTTCCACTCCATTGGGAGCCATTTCTTTGTCCTTGCTAGAACTACTTTGTCACTCATGTCGATCCAGTGTTTCAACTGGCACTTAAAAACTGTTGGCACATCAAAGTAGAAAGCTGACATTTAATAAATTCACATTGTTTAGTAAGCAAAACATTTTCTAAATATGAAGTCCTTGAAGGAAAAAAATGAGGCAAAGACCACTGGCTTGTGCCATTGTAACCTGCATATTATTTTGAATTTGTAATTTTTTTTTCTTCCCTGGGTTGCCTCTACTCTCAACTATTCAATCTGATAAAACTATACAAAAGCTTTATGTGAGTGCTGGTGTTATGGCAGAGGGACTTAAGCCATCACCTGGAACCCCACCATCCCATATGAGTCATGGCAACTCCACATTTGATCCAGCTCTGTGCTGATGTGCCAGGCAAAGCAGAAGAAGATGGCCCAAATGCTTGGGCCCTTGCACTGACATTGCAGGATCCAGATTGAGATCTAGGCTCCTGGCTTTTACCTGGGCGAACCCTGGAATTGCCATTTACAAATGGAATATATGTCTCTTTCAGTCTGTCTCTAGCATTGCCTTTCAGGTAAATAAAAAAGTCCTTTTACAAAAAGGTTTATGTGCCAGGCTCATGTTTGTATTTGTATCAGTTCAGACTGAGTCTGAAAAGAAGAAACATACTAGAGAATTGCATTATTTCTACTACAAGGAAACTATCTTCATTGAAGGCACTAGTGTGATGTACAAAGCAAGCAAATAAACAAGCCTTTGCCCCAGTCTTTTGATCTATGTATAATTAGAAATGAAAAACTATCAAAGAATCTTTGGCCACTTGTTCCTGTATCTACCTGAGCTGCACTAATGGCTTGAATCTGCAAACAGAGATGTGAAACTTTCCCCCTAGATAGCAATTCCCAATCCACAGGAAAGGGTACCTCACCTGTTTTCTGCATCTTTACCCTAAATCTAGGAGCATTTGTGACAAATGGTTGCTGTGTCTCAGCTAGCAGGCAAAGGCTTCTGCAAGGCCACAGGCATTATGATGACTTCTTTGGGCAAGATCCAGCAAGACCAAAGCAAAAGCTAGAATCAACAACAAAAGCATGCCAGAGTACTAAATAAATAAAAGTGATGAGATCACAAAACTTGGCACCCTGACCCCACACAGACCCAAAGGAGCCAACTGGGAAAGCTGGTGACCCTGTTGGCCCACACTAAGCACGCTGACTGCCACCATGACAATCACCTGACATGGGAGGTGCAGTGTTCCCTCTGAATGGCTGAGTGCCACCAGCTCCTCTGTTAAGACAACAAACATCAGCCATCTGGAAAAAGATGTCATATTATACAAAGAGCTCTAAAACCCACCCAAAATGGTGATTCTTGCCTTATTGCCTGTAAAAAGAACATTCCAGATTGTCACACAGAATCTGAAGGGCAGTGAAAAGAAAGGCAATTACATGATGCCAGTGAGAACCCAGGATTTGGCAAGTCATGTGCTACATGTACCCTTGAAAGCAAGGGAGCAAACTGACAGACTTTTATTTTCTTTGTAAAGATTTTTTTATTGAGAGGCAGATTTCCAGAGAGACTGAAAGACAGAAAGATCTTCCATCCACTGGTTCATTCCCCAAATGGCTGCAACAGAATTGAACCAATGCAAACTAGAAGTCAGGAGTTTCTTCTGGGTCTCCCATGTGGGTACAGAGGCCCAAGGCTTTGGACAATCCTTTACTGCTTTCCCAGGCCACGAGCAGGGAGCTGGATGGAAAGTAGAACAGCTGGGACATAAATTAATGCTCTTATGGGGTCCTGGTGCTTGCAGGTAGAGGATTAGCCAATCCAAGCCATCAGGGCACAGCATTTTATTACAAACAATCTTTACCTACTTGAAGCCTCCCTCCCTTTCCTCAACCCTGTTATTACACTGAGATTAAATGTGTAGTGTCTTTGCAGCAAGCCTAGAGTAACACATACCTGTTATGTTTAAACACTCCAGACACAGCTGAAAACAGCAGGCTTCCACAAGCTATTTCATAATTCAAGCAATATGTACACAAGAACATTAACCTGAAAGTTTAAGAAAGGCCAACAACACAAGGAAAAATCCAGCAATTAGGACAGGATTTCAGAAGAGTTTTGTTTTGTTTTAATTTTCCTTTCTTTATACCTCCATGGCATATAAATTCTGAAAGGAGTTTTAGGCAGTTTATTTAAAAGTAGATGACTGCAAAGGTTGGAAGAGTAAATGCTCATGGCACAAATCAAGTGAAAAAGTGGGGAGGCAAGCTAAAACCACCACTCAGATTAAAACAGGTGCTGGGGCTGTAAGGAGAGTGTGTGACACAGTGGGAAACCCCACTTGTCTTCCCAGGGGAGTAGAGCAATCAGCTTTAAACTAATCACACAAACCTGGCCGTGAATCTATGTCTGTCATTCACAAGCTGGGAAACTCATCTGGGCTTCTACATCCTGATCTGACGTAAGGGTACTGTCCTTCTCGGGGTGGGATTAACCCTGAACCATGCATAGAAGGCACCCAAGCAGCATGATGCCTGACCTACTCACCTGGTAGGTCTAAGCAGATGCAAGCAATCAGGAAGTTAAGTCATTCTGTCCCACACAGACTTCATGGTAGACTAATGGCATTTAGCCAGATGTAACCGTCTGAATGGTTTCTGCTAGTAACCAGTTATACACCTCCTATAGGATCTGGCTTCCTCTCAAGATAAACTTTAAAAGATGTGGAAGAATGAGAGATCTGAATTAAAAAAAAAAATGAGGGATTCTGGGGACCATGTTGTGACTCAATTGGCGAATTCTCTGTCTCAGGCACTGGCATCCCATATGCTCGCCGGTTCTAATCCTGGCTGTTCCATTTCCCCTCTGGCTCTGTGATTGTGGCCCGAGACAGTAGTAGAGGATGAGCCAAAGCCTTGGGACCCTGCACTTGTATGAGAGACCAGAAGTTCTAGCTCCTGACTTCAGATTGGCTCTACTCCAGCCATTGTGGCCACTTGGGGAGTGAACGAGCAGATGCAGAAGCTCTACCTCTGTCTCCTTGTCTCTGTGAATTTGCCTTTCAACTAAAAATGGATGAATATTTTAATAAAAATAAATTTGGGGACATCCCCTACTGTAAGTTTCCAATTCTCTAGGACTGGTGAGAACCCCAAGAATCTGTTGGGCTTTGCTTTCTGTTATTGTTTTTAAGATTTATTTATTTGAAAGAGTGACACTGTGAGGGGGAGAGATGGAGCAGAGATACCCTATTCACTGGCTCACTCCCTGAAATGGTCACAACAGGCAGGGCTGTGCCAGGCCAAACCTAGGAACAAGGAATCCCAACCTAGTCTCCTATGTGGGTGGCAATTCTGCTGTCTTTGCCAGACACATTAGCAGGGAGCAGATCGAATATCTGGGATTTCAACAGGCATTCCCTTAGGGAATGCTGCTGTTACACTGCAAAGGCATCCCCTGGGATACATATCTTTAAAAGAATTTCTATGAACTTCGGTAAAGAATTAGCCGTCACAGGGTCCAAAAGCCTGGAGGTCTTCAGGAGCTCTTAATTCCGCACTGACCTAACGAAGGCTCCCCGAGAAATGGCCACCCCATATCCCTCAGGGGAAAAACTTCATGGAGCCAAATCCTTCCTCATAACCATCAGTTGGGTTTCAACATACAATTAAGACTCCAAAACACTGTTTCTTAGCTGTAATTACTGTAACCTAGGGAAAATTTTTTAAAGATTTATTTATTTGAAACTGTTGCAGAGATGGGAATGGGGAAGAAAAAGATCATCTATCAGCTTGGTCACGCCCTAGGCCAGCACAGGGACAGCCTGAAACTAGGATCCAGAAGCTTCATCTAGGACTCCCATATGGAGTCTGCCAACTTATGCCCATACTGAATTCTGGCATTGCAGATGGCAGCTTTGCGTGGTACACCACAATGCTATGCCTATCATGGGAAGATTTTAAGGTCTATGTTAGCACCAGTCTACTCGCTAGTATATCCACCAAGGAAAGGAAGTTAACAAAACACCAATGAGACAATTGTAAGACCTTTCAGGTTGAAACCTACAGCTGACAGAATGATTCACGTAAGTCCCATAGCAGCCCTGGGTGTTGGGTTCCCAAAGAAGATGAAGTTGGTCAAAGAAGCAGAGATTCAATATTCAGTTCTAGATGGTGACACTTATCTTGTGGCTGTTTCTTGTCAGAAGGCCACCTCCCCAAGGTGCCACTTACAAAAAGATGAAGAGTAACACCCATTGTGATGGCTCTTGCCTTTGATGTGCCAGAATTTCATATGGACACTGGTTCATGTCCTGGCTGCTCCACTTCCCATCCAGTTCCCTGCTTGTGGCCGTGGAAGGCAGGTGAGGAAGGTCCAAAGCCTTGGGAACCTGTACCCATGTGGGAGACTCAGAAGAAGCTCCTGGCTCCTGGCTTTTGATCAACTCAGCTCTGCCTGTTACAGCCATTTGGGGAGTGAACCAGTGGATAAAAGATCTTTTTCTCTGTATCTCCTTCTCTCCCTAAATATTTCTGATAAAAATAAATATACTTTACAGGAAAAATAGAAAAAGAAAAAGAAAAAGATGAGGAGTCATGGCACCCTGAGCAAAGAAAAACATCTAGAACCCAAGGTCATATGGTGGGTCCAATGGATGAAAATGTCCTGAGCCCCAGCAAGCAGCCTCCTGGTCACATGGAGTTTCTCAGTACAGAAAAAAAGAAGACACAGTTTTGGCACCTCCGCCCTATGCCATGGTTTGAGGGCCAAGATTTCCCTAGACCCTTGCATTAATATATTGAATTCTTATAATTGTGAGATGGTTGCTATTACCTGCCCCATTCTACAGACAAGGAAACTGAGGCATTCAGAGATAATCAAATTTCCCCTGGCCACCCAGCAGCAGTAGCAAGCATTGTACTTTTGTAACCCAAGTCCTAAGTGACTGATCTTACTCTGAATTTCTCCTGAAGGGAATGTCCCCAGAATACTTAAGAAGTTTCTTTGTGATTTTGGTGGTGGTGAGCCTTCCAAGATTAGTTGCAAAATGGACTTGCAGATCAATCAATGATATGACAGTATTTGTAACAGATACCCGCCAAAATGATCATTGACAATTTTAGCAAAATCCACTTAGCAGGACTAGTTGTTCATA